CTTGCAGGGGGCGAGGACTGCTGGCAGCTCCTAACACATCTGAGAAAAATAGGAAGTCACGGAGAGGTTTTGAGCAGAGGAATGACATGATGTGTCCTAGGTTTCAAAGGACATCTGGCCAACTGTGTGGGAACCTGGCACCTACCAGCCTGTTGTGCCAGGCTCCTTCTGGTGCTTGTTGAACCCCTCCTCTCCTGAGCCAACCCTGCCGTTTCCTCCCTGACCACAGGAGCCAGGACTAAGTGCGCCCCACGGGCTCTGCCTGTTGCAGGGGAAACTGCTCCATTAACCACAGAGCATGTGCTCAGGGCTGAGAAGGTGCACCCTAGCCCATCCCAGAGAGGGAGCCCCAGAGAGGGAGCCCCAGAGAGGGGCTGCTGAAGGCCTTCCTTGCTCCCTCCTGCCGTGCCCTTATCCAGCCCCTTTCCCAGCCCCAAAGGCTCTCTGAATTTTCCACAGCGGGGATGGTCACTTGGATAGAGAGAGGTAGGAAGGAAGACTGGAGAGGTAGGAAGGAAGACTGGAGAGTGAGCCTGGAACAGCTCTCTGCCTGGATGTCTCATTCCTGTCTCCTGGATCCAGCATCCTGCTGGCTAATGGGGGCAGTGCAGACACTGCGACTGAAAGGTAGGGAGGGGCCTTGGGGGCCACAGGCTGACTGTATTCTGCTTTCCGCTCACTCCCTTGGGTGGTCCTATCCAGGGTGGCTATGAGCACAACTCTGGAAGGCACCGATCACATGCCTTCTGGCAGTCTAATTTCTGTTCTTCCTCCCTTTCTCGAATGGATGACACACCCACTTTGGAACAATCTAGACAGCCGGAAATAGGAACTCCGGATTCAGGAATGTAGTGTTCCATGTAGCAAGTATCCAAGGTTCCATCCCATTTGGCCAAGAAGATGGCAATCTTGAGATGTCGCCCTGCAGAGCTATCCTGTCCTCACCCATGGGTGGTGCATATGCACTTAGGAATTGCTGGGCAGGTTCCACCCAGCAATGCTAGGAGGGCACCAGTACCTGGATAAGACCTGGGATCCATATGCCTGAGACCATCAAATGTCCAGAGGCACTGCCCTTGCCATCTCACCCTGACCTGGAAGGAGCTGGAGGGTCATGGAGCTGGTCCAAAGGAGGACAGTGGCTTCCCTTGAGAAGAGGACAGCAAGAAGCTCACCCAGGCTGGTGGCACATGCAGGGACAGCCAGGCTTCCAGAGAGGCCAGCCCTGTAGATGGCCCAGTGACTCACCTCCCCAGATGCTACTCACTGAGGTCTCAGGAGGCAGCAAAACACAATGGTTCAAAGCTCAAGTCTTTGGGTTCGTTGGCCTGGGTTCAACTCCCACTTCTGTTATTTCCTTTCCATTGGCAAGTTTTTGTTTTGTTTTGCTTTTTGGTCTAGGAGCCTCAGTTTCCTTATCTGTAGAATGGGTTTACTTCCCTGGGTTGTTATAAGGATTTAGTGAACTAGAGCCTGTAGTCACTCCCTGTGTGGTGGTGAGTTTTGCTGCCTGGCTTTCTAACATTTGTTCCCAGTGGCCTAAGCTCTAAGCTCTTGCCTTCACTTCCCTTTCTAGTTTCATTCCTATTCCCTGGACCGGCCATACAGGGGATGTGGAACCTCCCAGTGGCACGATCATGCTAGCCCAGAGTAACCACAAACACTTGATTCAGTGGGGGATGTTTTTAATGTAGGGCATAGGTTTTCTTTGGATGTCTGTGTTGTCCCATTCCAAACAGGGGGTGAGACCACCTAGAGCCTGGAGAGCCTTTCTATCCTGGAAATTCTATGAATTCACAAAATCCAAATTGCTGTCACTGCAGGGCTACCACTCCTGGCTCTAAATCCTTGTGGGGAGACGGCTATGTTGTGTGTAGTCCAGACAGTGTACATACCACCAGGGGGTGCTGGCAGGCTGGTCTCCCTCCACTTCTCCAGGAGACTGAGGGAAGGGAGCCCTGGGTGGCCGGTTTGCCCTTAGGCTGGGGGACCTTGGGCAGTTAGCCTGGACTTCGAAGGTCTGCCACCTGGTGGGCTGAGAATCACAATAACAGGGACCCTTCACATCACTTGGGCCCTCCTGTTCCGGTACATGGCATTCCATCTTATGACTAAGGGGATAACGCCCAGATAGCAAACTGCGGCTCAGAGAGGTGAAGGGGCTGCTCAAGGCCACACAGCTGCTGGTGAGTGGCAAAGCACTAGAATAGCCTGATGCCAACCCCTGGGCCCCGCGATTTGACCGGCGGGAGAGGCAGCATGGCGAGGGAGCATGTCCTGGGAGACTGGCTGGGTCTGAGTCCCGTCTACCTCCACCCAGTGCAGATGGCCACTCCTATCCACTCCCTTCTCTTCCTTCCACCCCTTGGGATCTCAGTGACCTTCTCCTCTGTTTTGGAAGAGTTGGTGACAGGCTCAGGATCAGGATGAGTGTGGAGCCTTCGCTATTCAACCAAGACACGTGACTTTCCTGGAGCACAGCCTGGCCTCTTTAGGGACAATTTTCAGTCCTGCCAAGAGACTTCTGCACGCCCTAACTAGCCATGGACACCCCAGCCTGCAAATGCACCCCGAGCCTGGGGGGAAAAGCTGGGATGCAAGGCGCCTGGGCAGCTGTGCTAACCCAGGGTGCGTAAGGCCACCGTCATCCCACTTACCTACCAGGCTCAGTGCTGTACTTGCAGCCTCATTTAATCCTCATGCCAGCCCAATGAGACAATATTACGATCTCCATTTTACAGAGGGGGAAACTGAGGCTCAGAGAGGACCTCAGCAGCTCTGGAGAGGGGGTCTTGGCTTTCCCCCCAACTCTGCCACCGACTGGCTGGGTGCGTGAGGAGTGGGTAGGCGGGGGTCTCAGCTTCTGCTTGCAATCTGGAGAATGTAAAGGGCATGAAGCCTTCAGCAAAAGTTTCCTGGAAGACAGGGAGGAAGGAAACAGTGGCTTTTCGGGAGCTCACAAACCCAGGGGTTCAGGCAGGACCTCAGTGGAGGGCAAGTTGCAGCAATTCTTGTGAGTGACCACATGCAGAGGCCAGCAAGAGTGACAGGGGGCTGTGCTGACCAGCCAGGTTTACAGCAGGAGGGGAGGCTTACAGGAGGAGGGGAAACTGGAGCCAGTCATCAAAGAGTGAGAAGAGTGTTCTCTTCAGAGGGTCCCGGGCTGGTGGGGGAAACAGAAGGAGAATGGGGACTCCTCTCTGGGGCTTACCCTTGGTCTTCAGGAGAGAGATAAGGTATGGGAAGATGCTGAGTGCCCAGGGAAGGGGGTGCCTCAGGCAGCACACATTTCATGATGCCGGGACCCATCCCGGTGGAAAAAATGAGGTTTTGCATTGATCAGAAAACTGCATGCCTCTGCGTGTGTCCCTGTGTGAATGTTGACGTGTGAAGGGATGTTTGAAGTCTTATGTCAAAGTCCTTTTACATCTGTGATCTCTTTTTACTTCCCCGACTATCTTGAGAGGTTGGCTGGACAGCAATATCATCCTCAAGGACAGATTCAGAACCCCAGTGGGATGAACTGTCTTGCTCAGGGTCATGGAGCTTGAGAGTTGAAAAGCCAAGTACAATCTATGCTCTTGTCCCTGAACTTTCTTCCTGGACCCCCATCCTACCTCACAGGACACTGTACGGCACAGGTCACCATGTCATCTGCCTCCTCCCACCCCCAGGGCATTCTCCCCTAGAGGAGAGAAGGCACTCTGATGAACCTGCATTTTCACCAGAAAAACCCCACCGGGTTTGGTGGGTCTGGGGATGGGAGTGAAGGACTGAAACCAGAAAGACAAAGATTCCAGTGGCTGCAGAGGTCAGAGCCCAAGGCCAGGGTCAAGGGTCTATCTTCTCTCAAACTGCTTAAAGCAACCACCACCAAGGAGGAACTTACTACCACAGAGAAAGGACCCGCGAAGAGTGAAGGACCGTGTGCTGGTCCTCAGGGCAGCCTCCGGGAGGTGGGCTCGGGTGAGGGCCCACTAGTTTGCTCTTTATTTTCCCCCAGAATCTCCAGTGGGATGGCACTGGGACCGAAGGTCTGGGTAGTCGACCTCTGTCCCCTGCCAATAACAGTGGGCACCTACCTGCAAAGCTCTCACTTTGTGCCAGGCAGCTCTGAACGCTTTGCACATATATGCTCAATTAATCTTCACAACACCTCGGGAAGAAGGTACAATTGTTACTTCCATTCTACAGATGGGGAAAGGGAGGCACAGAGAGGTTCAGTGACTTGCCCAACGACACTCAGTTTGTAAGTGGCAGAGCTGGCATTGGAACCCAGGAAATCTGCCTCTAGAAGCTATTCTGCCTGTTATTAATAATAACCAAAGCTTCCATTTGACTGGTACCCCCTATGTGCCTGGGGCTGAATTCCCCACAGCAACGCAGCGGGCAACCTGCGGTGAGGTGACTTGAGATTCTCCCAGATGCTGCGTCTAAAACCAAAGCTTCCACGCTGCTCGGCCTCTTTAACTCGCTGCGTGACCGTGGGAAAGCCCGTTCCTTTTCAGAGCCTCAGTTTGCCTGGCGCTTAGCCCTTCTGCTCCTGGTCTCTCTGCTCCAGCAAGTGACCCGAGCGGATGGGGATGCGGTGCAGGGGGAGTGAGGGTCTCGGGCAACCCCAGAGCCTTTCCCTTCCCTCGTCGACCTACCCCCACCCCCGCCCCCCAGGAGAAGTCGCCATTCTGTTTCTTTCTCGATTGGCAAGCTGGGGTGGAGGGCTGGACGTGGAGGTGCTGGGTGCGGAAGGCGACGCTGCGTCACCGAGAGGTCAGCAAGGCCAGGGAGACAAGGCCCGGCTCTGATCTGGGGAAGGGCCGAAGGGCCTAGAGGGCACGTGCTCGGGAGCGGACTGTCCTCTGGGGACAGAGAAGCGCCCCGGACTTGAGGAGGGGGCGGGGAGGGAGAGTCAGAGGACCAGGTTCTGGGCAGAAGGGATGGGAGTGGGGGGAGGTGGAGAGGACGCGGACAAAGGAGGCGGCCAGCAGCCCAGCTGTTTTGAAAAATGCTTCCTGTTTCTTTAAAGGCGCTCGCGGCTCGGGCGGCCGGGGCTGGGGAGGCTGCGGCGGGAGCTGCCTCCTCTCCGGGCGGCGGCGCTGACTGATCTCGCGAATTGGGCTTCTGTGTAAACTGAGGCTAAACAAACACAGATGGAGCGCAGCGGGCGTTCTCCAGAAATGCTGGCACGGCGGCAGCGACTTCAGATGACACTCTGAGCGCTCCGGGAACGGACAGCCTGGCGGCTTCGCGGAGCCGGCGGCGCAGCTGCCCCGGACGAGGGGGAGAAAGGGAGGAGGGAGGGAGGGAGCGAGCAGGGGGAGAGCTGGAGACTCCGAGGCGCTGAGCGCCGCGGCCGCCCGGGCAGAGCCGGCGCGCAGCGTGTAGAGCGAGCGCGGCGGGCGCGCTTCCCGGGCAGCCCCACGCCCCTGCCTTGCGCGCTCTGCCCGCGCCATGAAGCACATCCCGGTTCTCGAGGACGGGCCGTGGAAGACCGTGTGTGTGAAGGAGCTGAACGGCCTCAAGAAGCTCAAGAGGAAAGGCAAGGAGCCGGCGCGGCGCGCGAACGGCTATAAAACTTTCCGATTGGACTTGGAAGCGCCCGAGCACGGCGCCGCCGCCACCGACGGGCTGCGGGACAGGACCCAGCGGCTGCAGCCGGTCCCGGCCCCGGTGCCAGCCCGGGTGGCGCCGGCCGTTCCTTCAGGTGGGGGCGCGGACACGGCCGGGGAGCGCAGGGGCGCCCGGGCTCCTGAGGTCTTGGACGCGCGGAAACGCGGCTTCGCCCTGGGCGCAGTGGGGCCGGGACTCCCCACGCCGCCGCCACCGCCGCCGCCTCCAGCGCCCCAGGGCCAGGTACCTGGGGGTCCCGAGGCACAGCCTTTCCGGGAGCCCGGCCTACGTCCCCGCATCTTGCTGTGCGCACCGCCAGCACGCCCCACGCCGTCGGCGGCCCCTGCTCCCCCGGAGCCCTCAGTGCGCCCGGCTCCCCCCACGCGCCCTGGGGAAAGTTCTTACTCGTCAATTTCACACGTAATTTACAATAACCACCCGGATTCCTCCGCGTCGCCTAGGAAACGGCCAGGCGAAGCTACCGCCGCCTCCTCCGAGATCAAAGCCCTGCAGCAGACCCGGAGGCTCCTGGCGAACGCCAGGGAGCGGACGAGGGTGCACACCATCAGCGCAGCCTTCGAGGCGCTCAGGAAGCAGGTACCGGCTCCCAGCCACACACCCTCACTGCGCCCGGGTATGACTGCGGGAGTGGGTGGGTAAGTGGCTGGGGGACTTTAGGGAGGATGAGGGCGTGGGTAACCGGCAAGTTGTCCCCGCCCGGTCGGCCCCAGGGCCCAGACAGGTTTGGGTCCTCCTGGGGCAGTGACCTTTGCCACAGCGTTGGTACGGCTCTTAGTCTGCAAAGTCGGGGTGAAGGTTCGAGATCTCTGGCTCGGGCACGCCCTGGTTACAGCCACCCCCGTCCCCCCTGGGGTGACCCTGTCTGCGCGTCTGACTTCACCCCTCATAGTTCACTTTTATGGCAGCGAATATTCGTCTCCCGGGGTCCCTTGGGCGCGGTGGGGAGTGGAGAGGGGCAATGTGGGAATCTGTCTCCGGCGGGGAAAGGGGAAAACCCTTACCCTTCTGGCAATTTGGCGTGGTCTTGGAGGCCCGGAACGCTGCGGAGGGGTGGTCCTGGCTTTGCCAGAACATAAGGGTCCCGCAGCCCGCGGGAACCTGTCAGCACCTCCTCAGCCCCCACCTCCCAGCAGGGATGCCCCTGAACTCAGGTTGCTTCTGCGCTCTGCACCCCTCGCTCCTGGTGTCCCTTAAGGACCCGGGGTACAAGCCTGAGCCCCCTCTGCAGGGGCGGCCTCAGGAATTGTCTGGAGAGGGCCTTTCCAGGAGATCCCCTCCACTGCTGCCGTTCGCCGCCCGCCGCATGCTGAAGCAGGCAGGTCTGCTGAGGGGACTGATTGGTTTGGGGAATCTTCAGAAACTAGTTCTGGGTGGGTTAGGGGCTTCTTAGTTTGGGGCAGGTGGGGGCTGTCCTCACCAGACACTGTCTTCTGGGGCCGATGGGAAAGAATATTTGTCCAAGAGTTACCCATAGTGGGGAGTGGCAGTTTTACAATTCCACTTAGACAAGATTGAGACTGCCCCGGGATTCTAGGCTGGGCATTTTCACAGAGCGGAGATCTAAGAAGAGTGTGGTAAGTGCCCCCTGCCCCCAGCCCACACAGGGCATGGGGAAGGGTTGGGGGGGGTGGATGTGACTGGTTTGAATGGTCAGGATTTTTGCTTGCTCTGCAGCTGACTTCCTGTGTGACTTCAGGAAAGTTACTTACCCTCTCTGGGCTTTAGCCAACAACAAAGGATTTCAGAAAACATGATCTTCTTTTTGGATCACACACTCTCCTCTTCCTCCTGTGGGTGGGGCAGGGAAGGTGCCTGTGTCCATCCATGGGAAGGGAATTAAACTCCTGGGGAAAAGAGTTTCTATGACTTTTGAGCCAAAGTGTCACATTTGGGCTTGAGTAAGATGATTGGTCAGTGAGGTGGAGTGGAGTGGAGGAGTCAGATAACTGTCATAGACAGTTGGGACCTTGGGCAGTGGGCCCAGTGGAGAATTCAGTTTCACCCTCAGGCAGTGGCTCTGTGTCAGAGGGTGGCAGCCTGGAGGGCATCCTGCTACCTACCGCCCAGGATGGAAGGATGAGATGGCAGAGAGATGACTGTCCACCTGCTCACCTTGCAGCTAGGGCAACCCCTCTCAGATTGGGGAGGCCACGTGCCCAGAGCATCACAGCTGGTGAGAGGACGGTCAGGGCTGGCACCTAGGTCCTTTAACTGACAGTTCAGCGTCCTTTTTACTCCTCCAGCTGCCTCTTTCAGTTCCGAGAAAGTATTCACGGTCTCTGTGTGTTCAACTACATCTCATTTGTCCAGTGGCTTTAACTTCTTTCAGTAATAAATTCCATCTTATTTGATCTTAACATCCCTGTCGATTGAATTAGCTTTCCATTTAATGGAATGGAAAACTGGGGCCTGGAGAAAGAATGAAGGAAACACTTCCAAGATCACCTAGTGGGTTAGGGAAGGTGACAGAAGTTTCTGGAATGCCCGCCTGGCCAAATGCTTCTCACAATGTCAGCTGTATCAGCGCTGTGGGCCCTGCGCTCGCAGTATTGTTAAGTCGGAAGGTGGGTGTACACATGGCTGACTCTCTGAGATGAGATGGTTAATCGTGGTTTCCTTTCCCTTCCACCCTTCTTGTGCGGAAGTTCTATATAAGAGGGACAAATTCAGGGAGAAAGTGTGCACACACACACACACACACAGGTACAAACAGCTGTACCTATACACACGATCAGTACTAGTGCCCAAGAGCACACACAAATGCGTGATCAGAAGCGCCTCCTCTGGTTTGTTCCCCCCCTTGCCCAGTCCATCTGTCCCTTCCCCAAAAAGGCTGCTGGTGGGCACCGGTCTATTGTCTGCGAGGGAAAGAAGTATCGCTAGGGCACACTCACCATGTCCACATCACAGCCTCCATCCGATGGGGAAAGTCCTGTGTCTCAGAGGCACTCCTTCCTCCTCTGGACCTCAGTATCCCACCTGTAGAAAGTGCGCACGTGAATACACACTCACACTCGTGTGCGTGTGTGTGTGTGTGCCCTTATCCAGGCAGGCTGTGACTCTGGATCTAGGCGTAGGCTTGACTGTCTGAAATGGACCCTGGGAAAGGAGGGTGAGGAAGAAGGATGGTTTTTCCTGAAATGAGGCCATGGCTGTTGCGCACCGAGGTCAGGTCTGGGGCTGTGGCTCTGGTCTGGGGCTTCATTTCTCTGAGCAGCTTCCTGGTACGGTGAAAAGAGCACTGGGCGGGGAGTCCGGAGGCCGGAGTTTGAGTTATACCTCTGCTGTATGCGTTCTGTGTGACCGTGGACAAGTCACTTTCCCTCTCTGAGCCTCAGTTGCTAAAGTTGGAAAACGGTGTTAATGCTTACCTCATACACCGCTTCTCTGCAGAGAGCGCATGAAGAAAGGAATGGGGGCCGTAGGAGGAATGAACATTTCTCGAACGTCTGCAACGTCCTCAGGGCTGGGCAAAGGCCTTGACAGATGTAGAAATAAGAATTCTGTAATCATTTTAATAAGAATCATAGAAACTGCCATTTATCAGATGCTTCCTTTGTACTGGGTCGTGTGCTAAGCGTGTTACGCGTATTAGTTCATTTAATGAAGTAGGTATCGTTTCCACCCCCCCGCCCTCATTCCCACCCCTGTTTCACGGATGGTGAGGCCGAGGTTCAGGGAACTTCTGCAAGTTGGTGGAGGTCTCGCAGCCTTTGGCCACCGCATGAGGCCTCCTGGGTTTGCATTGCATGCCTCCCCGGCCTGCCATTCACTAGGCTTCGGGGTGCCGGCGCCCTCCCGGGCATGGTGCAGTCACAGCCTGCGTGGCTGTGTGCCACTGTCATTGCAGAGCCTGGATTCGAATCGGAGTCAGCGAGTCGCTCCAGGGCCCAGGCTCCTGACGGCCCCGCTCTTCAGCCTGGTGACCACCCGGGAGCTGTCCACCCCCAGCAGGGGGAAGCCAGACAGTCTTCTGTGTTGTCCAACCCGTCATGCTCTCAACCAGGAAGGGAATGGGGTGGGGGGCCGCTTGGCCATGAGAAGTGCAGGTGGGGGAGAGGGAGGCCCCCGGCAGCGGGGCCAGGGGGTGCGTATGCGGGGCAGATGGTCAGGCCGCAGCACATGCCACCAGCCCAGCTGCTCGGGGCCCCCCCCGCCGCCTCACGTGAAGGCCATGTGTGCATAGCTGGGCCTGGCCCATGTGCAGGGCTGCTCCAGGCTGGGTGGGAGAGGGTCCAAGGGAAAGCCTGGCCTTGCTGGGCGGGTGAGGGGAGGGGCCAGAGCTGTGGGCCTCGGCCTCCCCCGCAGAACCTTCTGGTTCACAGGCTGTGCTCACCCTTGGGGCATCTGGTGTGTGTGCTGCAGGTTTCCTCTCAGCATTGATGGAGGAATGGCAGCCGAGCCAGGCAGAGGCCTGGGGCGGCAAGGAGGAGCCCTCAGGACTTGCTGAAGTACCACACCAGTGGCCCCTCCTCTGCTGCCCCTGGAGTGTCCCAGGGGATCCTCAGCAAGTGAACTCAGGATGGCCCAGGAGGGGGCATGAGGATGGTACCCCCAGCCCAGCACCTCCCTCAGTCTCAGATGCCACAGGATGCCAGGGGCCCATGGCCCCACTGCAACCTGAACCCCCTTCCTCAGGGAATGGGGGACGGACCTGCTTGCATCCAGATGGGAGAGGGTGATAAAAGCCTCTCTCCTGCCCCCTCGCATCCACAGTCACCACGACAGTAGCTTGTTTAGCCTCATTGCACGGGGCGAGGTGCCTTACCTGGCCCTGTCGTGCCGCCTTCCCATTTCACAGATGGGGATGCTTACGGAGGTGGAGTGAGTGACCAGGATTTGTCCTGTCTGGCCCTGGGCCGTGGCTCTTAACCACTCAGACCCAGGTTCTCAGGGTCCAGCCTCGTTGCTGTGTAGCAGGTTGGGATTTTGTTTAAATAGATCTTGACAAGGACCTTAAACAGCCTGTGTAGAGCGGCTTCATCCCAGGGAGCCAGCACTCACTGACATGAGCCGATCAGAGAAAAATTTCAGATGGGATCAAGTGCTCGGCTGTGTGCCGGGGATGCAGTGTTGTTGGAGCTGTGTGGGTCCAGGAGTCTTGGTGGGCGTCTTGGGCTGGGTCTGAAGGGTGGGGTAGGAGTTGGCACAGAGGCAAGAGGGTGGAGGGCTTCCAGGCCTCCCCTGCATTGGCTGGTTGGTTCCTGGCTTTGCTTCTCTGTAGCGCCTCCCTACATCTGCCCATGGCGATTCCATTCTGAGGTAGCAGGTATTCTGATGCCCATTTTATTGGTGAGGAAACTGAGGTCCCCTATGGTTGCGGACCTAAGATCACGTGGATGGCCCGGAGTAGAGCTAGGTCCTCAGAATCCCAGGCCAGTGCCCTTCCTGCCTTTTCCCACTTGCTGGAGCCAGGAGAGGGTCCAGCTTGGGGTAGGTGGGATGGAATCTTTTAGGGGCACTTGGGACCTGGTGAAAAATCCCCATACTGCACCTGCTCCTCTGAAGCGTAACGATTCTTGTGGGGTGAGCGTGAGGCAGGTCCTTTTCCTTTACAGGAAGATTTGCTGCCTGTCGGTAGCTGGAGCCGAGCAGCCCTGCTGCCTCCTTTGGCTTCTGTCCCCTGCCCAGGCTGAGCAGATGACTGCTGTGTGGTCTCCGGCAGGTGGTGGGATGGCTGGGCTCTGGGCCACGCTGTGGACGCTCAGAGAGGTAATGCACTAAGGCTGGGGTCCCGTGGAGTCCAGGACTCTCCATCCCCTGCTCAGAAGGGGGGGCTGCCCACCTCCCCACCATAGGCTATAGATGCTCATCCAAACCCCCAAGCCATCGCTTCTGGCTGATTGGAAAGAGCCCAGCTAAGTAAGGTGTGTGTTCAAGACCCAGCTCATCTTTCATCAGCTGAGAGATACAGGAAGTTCTTAACGCTCCCTGGGCATCAAATGCTTCTCTGTAAAGTGGAAGCCGTCATTTCTACCTCATGGCGCTGTCGAAAGATGAATTATATTCACAATACCCAGCCCTCTGCCTGGCCTTAGTAGATCACAAGAAACAGCAAGGGGATGACGTAGTTCCAACAGTCATCCAGGGTACCCAGGCATTATTCCCGCTCTCCAGATAAGAAAACTGAGGCTCAGAGAGGTGAAGCTACCTGTCCAAAGTCACCCCGATGTTTGGGATTCAGACCAGCTCTTTCTGCCTTACCTTAACCTCCTAGAATCAGATCCTCATAGGCCAGGGTGCCTCTGAGCTGGGCTTTTGGGGGCCCAGCTCCTGCATCCTGGGCCGTGGGCACCAGCATCACCACCGCTGGTGGTGGGAGTTTGGAGAGCCCAGTGGCCAAGCCCCTGGTGGGGCTTGGGGAGCCCAGTGGCCAAGCCCCTGGTGGGGGCTTGGGGAGCCCAGTGGCCAAGCCCCTGGTGGGGGCTTGGGGAGCCCAGTGGCCAAGCCCCTGGTGGGGGCTTGGGGAGCCCGCCTTCCTTGGGCGATAAACACACGAGCTTCTGGCTCCAACCGGGTCTTAGCTGAGTGACCTGGGGCCCAATATGTCACCTCTCTGTTTCCTCATGTGCAGATGGGGTAACAATCTTTATTTGGGGGAAAGTTTCAATGGGCTGAAACTACCTGTAAATAGTGACCACGGTGCCAGGTAAACAACCAGAGCTCAATAGATGGGTTGGTTTTTTTTTTTAAACTCCACAGTTGCTTCTTAATTTATTTAATTAATTTATTTTTGGCTGCATTGGGTCTTCGTTGCAGCGTGACGTAGGGCTTTCTCTAGTTGCGGCGAGCAGGGGCCACTCTTTGCTGCGGTGCACGGGCCTCTCATTGCGGCGGCTTCTCCCGCTGCGGAGCATGGACTCCAGGCGTGCAGGCTTCAGTAGCTGTGGCGCATGGGCTTAGTTGCTCCGTGGCAAGTGGGATCTTCCCGGATCAGGGCTTGAACCTGTGTCCCCTGCATTGGCAGGCAGATTCTTAACCACTGCGCCACAAGGGCAGCCCCCTCAATAGATGGTTTTCTTGTTAGACCTGGACTTTGACACAAGCAGTGGGACAGAGTGACAAATCTGGGGCAAAACTGGATCAGAACTTGGCACGGGAGCCCCTAGGTCAGCCTTGGCCTCACCTGTTGCTCGGTCGTCCCGCAATGACCCTGGATCCCCATGTGCAGATCCCTTCCAAGATCCCTGCTCCCTGCTGGCAGGGAAGCCCAGCTGCTCAGGGCCCAGGGCTCAAAGAGCTGGGTAACTCCCAGCATGGCCTCTGGGTAACAACACACTAGGGCCTGTGTCACAGAGCTGTGCCCAGTGTCCAGAGCCTCCACGAGGCAGGCACTCCCTCCCTGGGTGCAGGGGAGGCAGAGGTGCTAGGCTGGTCCCTGAGACCCATGCCCCTGCCCCAGGGAACTTTTCTGTGCCACAGACCTTGTTCATTTGTTCAGGCTGATAAAGCAGGATTCTCTGGACTCTGGATGAGAACAGGCAACGTGCATTGTTCTGCAGGCTTTTCTCAGATGGGTTTGGAGCTGTGGCCAGGACTGGGATGGGGAAGGGGAATGCACAGGAGTTGGTGGTCCCTGTGTCACCTCCCTGCCCCTCCCTGCGTTTCCTGGCCTGGTGAAGGGCAACTCCTTGGCTGCTAGAGGATTTTTTTTTTTTTAACATCTTTATTGGAGTATAATTGCTTTACAATGGTGTGTTAGTTTCTGCTTTATAACAAAGTGAATCAGTTATACATATACATATGTTCCCATATCTCTTCCCTCTTGCGTCTCCCTCCCTCCCACCCTCCCTATCCCACCCCTCCACGTGGTCACAAAGCACCGAGCTGATCTCCCTGTGCCATGCGGCTGCTTCCCACTAGCTATCTACCCTACGTTTGGTAGTGTATATATGTCCACGCCTTTCTCTCGCTTTGTCACAGCTTACCCTTCCCCCTCTCCATATCCTCAAGTCCGTTCTCCAGTAGGTCTGTGTCTTTATTCCTGTCTTACCCCTAGGTTCTTCACGACATTTTTTTTTTCTTAAATTCCATATATATGTGTGCTAGAGGATTTTTGAAAGGTGACAGCAAACCTCACCTCGAGCCTGTGGTCTCAGGACCCCCAGGGGGTGGGGGATGAGCAGGCAGTATGTCCTGGCTCCAGATCTCTTGCTTCTCACCCTCTCTGGAGACCCTCTTTAGAGACCCTCTGCAACACCCACCGTAATAATGCCACTGACTTGTATCAGGCCTTACTATGTGCGGCGCATATGCCATCTCCTTTAGTCCTTACCACGCTCTGTGGTCAGTCCTGTTGGCAATATGACAAGGACACCAAGGCTCAGAACGGTTATGTCTCTTGCCCAGGGTTTGTAGCTAGAGCCAAGAGTTAGCCCAGGTGACCAAAAGGTGTATGAGCTTCACCTCTGCACCAAATAACTAAATCTTTATCCTCAGAGAATTTTGAGAATTCCCTGGCGGTCCAGTGGTTAGGACTCCATGCTTCCACTGTAGGGGGCGCGGGTTCAATCTCAGGTCCGGGAACTAAGATCCTACAAGCTGAGCGGTGTGGCCAAAAAGAAAAGGAGAGAGAGAGAGAGAGAGAGAGAGAACGGTTTTTGAACCCAGTTCTAAACCTTCTGGAGTCACCTGATAGATATGGAGGGAGAGCGTTCATTTGTTCATTCAGTCAACAAACCCTTTGGAGGCCGGTGATGGGCAGGACCAGGGCTAGGCTCTGCATACAGAGGCCTTCCCCTGACAGCTCACACAGAGACTGACCATTAAATGAGTCCCAGTAATCAGGAGTTAAGGACAGATGGCGGGCTATCAGAGCACCAGCAAGGGGAGGCAGCCCTAGTCCCCGGGGTAGGGTTGGGTGGGAGGTCAGGGAAAGCTGCTGGACGAAGTGAGCTTTAACGTGAGATCAAGATGTTGACGCGTTTAGGGTCCTCATCTGAAGCGGCTCTCTTGATCATGCTTTCTCGACCACAGCGCTGCTGGCGTTTTGGGCTGAGTCATTCTTTGCTGTGGAGGCATCGTAGGATCCTGAGCACTGTACGATGTTTAGCGGCTTCCCTGGCCTCTGCCCACTGCAGGCCAGGAGCCCCTCCCCGCCTGCTCCCCGGTGGTGACGATCAAGAGTGTCTGCAGACATTGCCAGCTGCCCCTTAGGGACGACATTGTCCCTGGTTGAGAACCGCTGGTTCAGAACAGTGCCGGGTGTGCTTGTTGAGTGGTCCCTGCAAGGCGCCCCACTCTCTGTGGGCTGAGGGTTAGTACCAGGTATCCGTGGTGGGGATGGACGCTGCGTGTAGATCCTGGAGAGCCGTAGAGAGGAGGATGCCGCAGCCTTGGCTGCAGTGCACGTTTGGGCCATTTAGGTGAACGACGCGTCAGGGCAGCTGTATTGGTTAGCACCTGTCGGGTGGACTTTGTGGTGATGTCTCCGTGTTACGACACAGAACTCTGCTGCAGTCTTTGTAGCTTTTTGCTCAAGCAGCAGGAGCATTGGTGGACAGTGTTAGAGACCCCATCGCCTCACGCATACAAATCCCTGTGCCATTAGTGAGTGTCTAGTTGGTGATGAACGTCAAGGCTGTCAAGTCTGGTTGGGGCTGTCCTGTTGCAATGCCCAGCAGCGCCCCAGGTCCAGAGGGCGGAAGGAAAAAGAGAAAAGCAAAAGAAAGCCAATCACGTGTGGGACCCCAGCTGAGCACTGACACTTTGCTTCTGGTCTGTTCCCAGAGTCCCGGACACCTAACTCTGCTCTGACGTTATAACATCACTCTTGAGTGTAAGTTCTCTGATGGCAGACCCGAGTTATTATCTGTGGTCGGACCCCAAGTGCCCAGCAAGACAAGTGCCACTGAATGAGTAAATAGACCCTCAGAGCTAAAAAACATCGGTTCTCTCTGAGAGATTCCTTCTCAGGGAGGGAGGGGGGTGGAGCTCTGTCCTGGGGGAACTCACTGTGCTTCGTGCGCACTGACGTTCGGGCAAGAGCTAAGTCTCGGTTTCTTCCCCTGTGACGTGGGAACGTGGATGCCTCCCAAGGTGGTGAGTGTGGAAACAGCGGGTGCTTAGAACAGGGAATAAAATCCGGGTTGAGGGACTCGATGGGCCACCTCTGCCGCCCTGCAGTCCCCTGTCCGGCGGTGCGCGTGTCAGTGTGAGGGGCCCTGCACCTGCCTGGCTGAGGTGCCCCCAGGCCGTTCTCAGCAGAGACCCTGGCAGCCCCTCCTGACGCCTTCTCACCCTCCAGGTGCCATGCTACTCATATGGGCAGAAGCTGTCCAAGCTGGCCATCCTGAGGATCGCCTGTAACTACATCCTGTCCCTGGCGCGGCTGGCCGACCTGGACTACAGCGCCGACCACAGCAACCTCAGCTTCTCCGAGTGTGTGCAGCGCTGCACCCGCACCCTGCAGGCCGAGGGCCGTGCCAAGAAGCGCAAGGTACGTGCCAGCCACGCAGGCGGCAGCCTCCCGGGAAGACAGAGAGGTGGGGACGGGAGCTTGGGCTTCCAGAGGGACCGGTGAGCTCGGCCCTTAGGAGCTTTGCTGGGGTTGGCGCCAGCTTCAGGGCTCCTCAGACCCCTGGGACTGTGTGTGACTCTGCTCCTGGGAACGGGGCTGCTGGGTACCTGGGACAGTCACCCTGGGCCTGCGTGTGTTCATCACTTAACTGAGGAGGACAGCTTCTCTCTGAAACTCTTTCTGGCCTTACGTGCTCTTAGGATGAATCCCCCATGCGACCCCTGATGGATGTCCTATCAGGGTGAGATCTCCTGAACTGGTAACAGCCCAGGAGAGCCCTCTAGTGTGTTTTGGTAATGTGACTTGGCCTGTGGGTTACCTGAGGCCGCGCGTTAAGGCACGCGATATTCATTCGTTCGTTCTGAAGAGATTTGCTGAGCCCCAGCCATGTGCCGCGCTTGCCGGGCAGGGGTATAAAAATGATACACGTATGGTCACAGCACCCCTGCAGCTCACAGGATGCTCAGAGACCCTCCTGCCCGTGGATAAGGGCAGAAGAGTGTAGGAAAGGAGGCACTGGAGGCCTGTGCTGGGGCAGGGGAAGGCCAGGCAGAGAAGGGACAGGTGACCTCTCCTGCCCAAGGGAGTTGGAAAGGTCATCTTTGTGTAAGTGGTGTTTGAGCTGGACAACAAGGAGGTCACCGGGCAGATGAAGCAGGAACAGTATCTGAGGCAGAGGGAACAGCCTGTACAAAGCCTGATGTGTTTGGAGAAATATGGGCGGGAGGAAAGGTGTCGGGCACAGCTACGCTTCCCAGATGGCCTAGGCTTCCAGCATTTCCAGTTGGGGGTCATTGCCAGGCTGCGCAGAGCAAGGCTCATGGCAACCCTCTGGATCTCTGTGCCCACGAGGCTAGAGGGAGAGAGACAGAGGGTGGGAGCCAGTCTGCATCCATGAAGAGGGTAGAGGTGGTTAGAGATGGCTGGCTCCCCTGGACATCCAGGGATGGGGAGTTGGGGGGGGGTAGCCAAGTGGCTCTGGCATCCTCCATTCATTCCTTCCTACCACCTCCTCCTTCCTTCCTGGCCGACCCCTCCCCGCATCCCTGACATTCCTCCCCCAGCCCCCCTTTCAAGGAGGCCCCTCTCTGGGTTCTCCAGGTTTCCCAGGGGCCCCTTCAAGAGGCTTCCAGCCAGGGAGGCCCTCTGTGGACTCTCCTGCCCACAGCAGGGAGGGCCCCGGCACGTCCCCACTGCCAGCCACTGCCGCTGCTGCGGTGAGGGCATGTTGCGATCCTGGGAGTGATTTAATGTGGACCAATTAGATGAAATCTTCCTCAAGTGGGTGAGAGAGGAAGCGCCACTGGCTGCTTGCAGGGCGGCTTTTCCTCTGGAAGGTGACGCGGGTAAATTAAGGGCGTGATTGATGGCCCCATGCAGCGCTCGGTGACAAAGGAGGGTTGTAAACTCTCGGTGAACTTCCCCTGGCGTTCGGTGGTGGTCGGTCGGAGGTGTGGATGGGCAGGCGCCATTTCCCCCATCTCTGCCCCTCTTCCCCCCTCCCCAAGTCCTCCCGTCAGCCACCAAAGGCCAGAGTGCTGGGTCCCCCTCCTTCCCTGTTTTTTGATTGGAGCAAGTGCCCTGGGCTGGGGAGGAAACTAGACGCTTGGGAGGTGAGGGGGAAGAAGGGGGGTGGTGGGGTGACGATGCCCAGCAGAGACGAGCTTTTGGCTTCCTCTGAAATCACATCAAATCTAAGACACCTTAGAGACTATCTGGTCCAGCCTCCCCATTGTCCAGATTGGGAGACTGAGGTGTTAGATTGTGGGTAAGAGCATCAAACAGCCCTGAGTTCAAGGCCTGGCTCACCGCCTACTAGCTGTATCATTTTGGACCCATTTCTTTACCTCTTCCTGCCTCAGTTTTCTCCTCAATAAACGGGGATGGTGGAAACAGCAGAGATTTCCAAGGCCCTTTCTAGTCTGACTCTGCAAGCAGAGGCCCTGCCTCACCTCTGAAGGGCAAGGGGCCCCTTGCATCCTGGAGCCCTTCCTGCCGAGCGGGCTGTCCTGAGGCTGCCATCTCCCGAGGACCATGCCTGGACAGCCACCATTGCCCAGAGGACTTAGAGGGAGGGATGGGACAGGGTCTTGGGGCTGCTGGGGCATCTGAGGCCTCTTGGGCCCTGTAACTGCCCTGGTAGATTGGCGGATCACAGCACCACCCCACTCCTGGCGTGTGTGCCTTCCTGCATCTGTCACCACGCAGGTAGGTGAGTTTCAGGGATGCCCTCAGGGATGGACTTCAGTGACCCGCCCAGTGGCCCTGAGTGCCTGGGAGAGGCCATCCTTTTGTTAACCAGAACCAAGGGAGCTGGTGTCCCTGGAGACGCGTTCCTTCATTTGTTCATACATTCATGCGTTCAGTGTCTGTCGAGCAGCGGCAGTGAGCTCCGTGTTGGGGAATCCCATCCTCAGCACGTGGGCACTGGGACGGGTGTTTGCGATGGGGCGGGCTTGCCCCTCCTAGTCCCTGTGGACGGGGCAGGTGGATGTGAGTCTCGAATCAAGCCCCTGTCGCCCCTCCCCTGCAGCCGTTCAGGGCAGCCTGAGGGTTTGGGGATGGGGCTGAGTCAGGCTGACATTCTAATGAAGGATAAAGAAAGGAAGAAACTAGAAAATGATGCTGATGTCAGTGACCAGCTGAAAGGAAGTCTTTCATAAATGGTCACCACCAGTGCCACTGATGGCGCTCTGAGCTGTCCCACGGAGCGCGGCTCTCTCACCGTTCATGTGCCCCAGAGGCTGGGCGACCCTTTTCCAGAACACCGCCTTGACAGGCTGTACTCAGTGTTCCCTGACGAGCTGCCTTGTCCCTCCAGACCTGTGTTAAGAGTGGGATTTAAAGTGATCTTTCCTTACCCTCTAGGCCCCAGGCACATCCTTTTGCCCGTCTCAGCCCTTCCTTGCTGGGGGTGGGGACCTTGACGGGTGAGTCCTCTATATCTGGACCTCACAGGAGGTGACTTTGAGGGTCCAGGGTCCGTGTGGAAGCCCTGGTCGTGCAGAGAGGCTCGTCGGAGGCTGCCAAGCGGAGAGACAGGTGGGAGGAGTGGAAGGGCTCTGCAGATCTCAGCTCGAGCTCCGGCTGCAGCCGGAGATAATGCACATTAAGCACCTGGCTCTGGGCCATGTTTCCGCAGCTCCTGTTTTTAAAGCAGCGACTCCTGGGAGCTTCTGAGGAGGAAAGAAGGGAAGAGAAGCAGAACTGTTCCACACCTGGGCAGGGTGGGCATTGCCGGGCCTGCGGGATAGGAGACGAGCAGTTTCCCACAGTCTAGGGCCCTGCCTTCCAGTGAATAATGATAATAATAATAATGACAGCGGCAGCAGCTACTAACACTGATGGCATAGCTTAAGCCCTGGCGGTAAATGGCCAGTAGGTTCCTGCCCCCAGGTTTCTCACAGGCCCCAGGTTGGCGGGGGTGGGGTGGGGGGAGAGATAAGTCCATTACGGTGCGCTGAGCTAAGGGCCCTACCAGACACCTGGGCACCGATTGGTGACCCCGGAGCTGTGGCTGTAGCCGTGTGTGCCAGCTGGGCAGGGAAGGCTGGCTCTGCAAGGCCAGAGGCTGCTTCTCACCCTGTGGGTGGTCCAGTGCCAGAGGAGGCAGTGAGGCTGGCATAGCTCGACCGCATCTTCTCTCTTCCTGCTGCTTTCTGGGTAGGGGAGGCTTTTCGTGGTGATGGCAGGTTCGAGGGTAGCCGGACCCCTGTTGGGAAGAACATCTTGGGTGCAGACTTCTGTACTTTTGGTGCTGGGGGCCAGCTGAGGTAGCACATTGGTTTTGGGTTGGGGGGTCAGTGGGAGCCGAGAGGATTCTGTCTGGGTGGTTGAAACCAGGCCTCGGACAGGACCTGGTGGCACCTGCTCTCTCTGTGGTCTGTTCCGGAGCCCCAGAGTATGTGAGGCAGTCTCCAGCTCCTGCTCTGGCTGGATCCAGCCCCTCGTGTGCAGGGTCTCCTGCATCCCCAGAGTCCCCACTGAGGGACACTGTCCTGTCTCTGTCCCCACCTGCCACGTACACAGTCACCCCCACTGGGGCTTTGGTCTCCACTTCTGTAAGGTGAGTTGACCCCAGAAGTGATTTCTAAGGCCCCTTCTGGTCAGACTTTCCGAACTGAGGTCACCTCAGCTCCTTTTTCTGTCTAAATGACAACAGGCGTCTACTCTCCCTTCCCCTCTGCCCATCACGGGCATTTCACACAGATCTGAAAGTTGCTCACAGAGACTGTTGGGACCCCAGTGCAGTGCACCCGGAGAATCCTGATACTCCCTGACGTTCTTAGAGCCTGGATCCCACGCCAGGCGTGGTGCTGGGTGCTTAGTACTTCTGACAGATCACCCCGTTGACTCCTCCCGCCACCCCTTCAAGGTGGATCCTGACGTTGTCCCAGGAACAGTGAATCTTAGGCTCAGAGGCCCGAGGAACTGGCCAGTAGGAGAGGTGCCCGGGGCTCCTATCACTTCCCTGTCCCGCCCCCCGCATGGAAATGGGGTGGTGAGAGGAGGTCCTGTTTCCACATCCTCCGAGCCATGTTACTGAGTTAAATACCATGTGCTTTCAAAACCCATGGAGTCCGTCTATGCTGGGAAAGAAGGGGGGTGGGTGGGAAACCACCATTAAATTCCCTTCTTGTCATAAAAATGGATGCAATTTATTTTTTCTGGCATTCCAATTACATAGACGTTTGTCGCCAGCTGTTTGTTCTAACACGGAGTGTTCTCTCAGCTGCCGTTTCTCCTCTCTCGGTTGACACCATTAGTCCACACGGCTGGCAGGGACTGGGATGGAGGGGTCGTGGGCTGGGGAGCCCCCCAGGTTAGCTTCCTTGGAACGCAGAACTTGGCCCCTCTGCTGTTCGCCGGGTGGTCCCGAGGTGGGGGAGAGACTGGGGCACTGCTTTTCCCTCTCCTTTCACACTGTCTTCACCTCTTCCTCCTCTCCCCCGCTGACACGCACTCACAGACCCCACCCTTCTCCCCACCATGCTGTGTATGAATGAAAACTTGGGTCTCGGACAGTGAGAAAGAACCAACCTCTCCTGCTCAGAAAGTCAGAGACGTGCAAAGTCCCCTCTGATGCTCTAACCTCCAGGGCATCTCTTCGAGCCAGGGTGCCCCTCTGGAAACCCCTTCAGAGGCTCGGTGGTCCAGGATGCTACAGGTGGGTGTTGAGCTGAGAGAACCCTACAGTTCCTTTCAGTTCTCTCTGGTGCTGTCATTTAACTTTAAGGCACATACAACAGGGAGACCCTTGGCAAGACCACGAAGTAGGGGAAGTGTAGGCTTTGGCGCTGGAGACCTGGGTTTGAATCACGGCACTGGAACTTCCTACCCATGTGACCTTGGGTGTGTTACCTAACTTCTCTGATCCCCCGTTCTCTCGTGTGTAAAGTGTGAGCTTATAAACCTTCCTCGCCACCTTGCTGGAAGGATTAAAGGAGATCCCGTATGAGACAGGGCTGGCCTTTTCTCAGTGCCAGAAGGGAAATCTCAGGAATTTACAGCCACAAGGTAACAACTTCATATGGAATCCCAGGAAGGATCATCTCAGCAAAGGGCAGTGCCTGGAATGGATGAATGACCAGACAAAGGGCAGATAAGGGCAAATAATTCTGAATGGGGGACTCCTGTTTGTCCGGCGTTCGGGGCAAACCCCCTGGCCCTGCATCCTTAAAGGGGGGCGAGCACCTAGCCAGCCCAGAAATCCCTGGGCTTTCAAAGTTCACGGATTCATACCAAAGAACATGCATAACGTGTGGTTGTACGTGGTAATAATGCTAATAAACAGACTCTCACCAACAGTCGCGCTGACCGAACAGGGGGTGCCCGTTGCGTGCCGAGCACCTCCCATACTTTATCTCTACCCTTTATGCTGACCCCACAAGTTAGCACCACTTCCCCATTGCACGGAGGGGAAACTGAGGCCAAGAGAAGGGCAGTAGCTTGCCCAAGGCCATGCAGCGAGGAAGTGGTGGAGCTGCTTTGAGCCCGTGTCTCTTTGGTTCCAAACTCCGAGCTCTTCAGCCGCGCCCGGGCCCTGAAGCTCACATACCGCCCAGCAGGGTGGCCTGAGCCCGGAGACCCCCAGCAAATGCGGGTGCAGGGCCTTGTCAGGAGCAGCAGCTCTTATGTAAGCAGCCAGGCTGTGGCGCTTGCAGGCTCCATTGAGCCGCGGGGAGCCCACAGACCGCTGGGGGTGGCAAGGGGTGGGCCGGGCCGGTGGGGGTGGTGGTGTCAGCAGCCCCCCGCCCCCAGTGCCGCCGCCAGCGAGGCCTGACACGGGGTTAAGTCGCCCTGGCGGCCTCTGGCTGCAGCTGGGAGCGCGCCTGGTTCCCATTCGGGCGCTATGGTTTTGATTAGCTGTTCCACAAGGCGGGCCTGGTGGCGAGGCCCTGGGAGCTCCGCTGGAACAGAGGGTCCCCCGCCCGGCCGCCGCGGCCCCCCCTCCTGGCAGCCCCAGACTCCAGATGTTCCGAGCGCTCGCTGGGAAGGCCTGCTGGCGCCACGGAGGGCAGAGGGCAGGGAAAGCACGCGAGCTGGAAGCCCAAGCACTCAGTCACCGCAGGCCCTGGCAGCCCGCCCAGCGCTCTGCTGGCACATTCCCCAGCTCTCCCCTGGCCATCTGTTCCCAAAAAACCCTTTCAGAGCCTCATCATCACTCAGGATACAACAGCACAAGCAGCTGGTTTGGAGGCAGCAGGGAAAACCGTGCAAAAGGTCCTTTGTGAGAGAGGAAACTCGCTTATGAATAACAGGGCTGGACGCCGTAAAAGTTGGCGGCTGGAATCCGTGTTTCTCAGGCGCCGCTGTTTTCTCCCGGCTCTTTATCTCCGCTCTTTATTTGGTTTCCCCTTGTTTTCTTTTAATGGTGTTTCTTCCCCTTCTTGCACCAGTTGTGACTTTTCTTCCTCCTCTAAGGTGCCTGAAGGCCACCTAATTAGGTATCCTGGACGCTGCCGAACTGTTTTTCCTTCTCAAAGCTCTTAAAATGGGAGGCGGTTAGAAGTGACTGTTGTCATAAAACCCGGGCTGGAGGAGACGGGGCAGAAAGAAGGTACCCGGGAGGGCACAGTGTGGGCAGGGCAGCAGAAAGTCGTCAACCCGAGGGAGGGTCGGGGGCAGAGAGAGCGTGGAGACTGCCATCAACACATCGGAAGGCAACACGGAGACGCTCTGGGAGAGCAGTGGCATTAATGAAACGCTCAGCGCCTGGCGCCCCAGCTGATTGCAGTATGACAGGAAGCCTTTTTTAAGAACCGCCGCCACCGCCAGAAACTTCTGGGAGACGTCTGCCTGGAATCTGGGCACCTCCTGGGAGCAGTCACCGGGTGGCCTGAGTGGGGCCCTTGGGCTGTGCTGGGGCAGGGCTGGCAGCTGGGAGGCCAGCATTGGCGGCGGTGGGGAGGGGAGGGCAAGGCCTGGCCACCTTCCTCACACCCCCTGGACCCCTGAGGGGGAGCTGAGAGTCAGGCCCAGGGCTGCCAGGTGGAGGTGGGGAGAGGGACACCTCCCAGGTGTCAGATGGGCGTGACCTCATGGGGGGTCACGGGGCAGGGGCAGGGGACTGGGGGCTTCCCCTTTCCTTTCTCAGTGCCGGCACCCCTTTTTCACTGCCTGCCCCAGTGCTGTCCCGTGAGACCCAGAAGCTCGGCTGCCCCTCACCCCGGCAGTGGAAAAAGCCTGTCGTCCACGTCGCCGCGGGTGGCCGGTCCTCACACGCTGAGGCTCGGGCTACGGAGGGCGTTTCTTCTGCGCTTTACTCAGGCGCCGTACTTCACTCCTTTCTCCTCTCTTCCCAGTTTTGGTTGGAGAGGTGGCAGCTCTGGCAGGACAAAATATACATAAGTTTATCACAATTTCAGGGCCATTCGTCTCCCCGTCTGCAGGGCTGGGCATGGGCCGAGGTCCCCCCTCCCTGCTAAGGCCTTGGTGGGCAGCTACCTAATCTGGACTCTGAGGCTGGTCTCGTCTCTGCCCAGGGGCCTGCGTAGCTGGGTGGCCTTGCTCAAGTGTCGTATCCGGGAGATGCCAGCCTGACTGCCCACCTATCCAGGGGTCAGTGGCACAAAGGATGTGAAACTGTTTTGTGAACTCTGTCCTCCCTCCCGTGTCTGCTGCCTGAGAAGCTGGTCCCTGTGGAGCCGAAGGTGAGGAGGGCCTGGGGAAGGAGGCGTGGCCGCTGGCCCCAGGCCCCTGGTGATGACGTGGGGTCCGACCAGTGACCAGAACTTGCTTTCCAGACCTGGGGCTTCCAGAGGAGCAGTGGGAGGAGAATGGAGGGCACTGGAGTGACCAGGCCTGTCCTGCCCACTGCCCAGCCTTGAGCCCCTGCCCCTGGCACAGTGGATCGCCTGGCACAGGGGGCGCCAGCAGGCCCTGGTCGTCCTTTTTCTACCTCCCGCTGCAGACCGGAGGCTGGTTCTAGGGGAAGGTATAAACCCCTGCCTTCCTGACCTCCTAGTATAAACGTTTCTAGAGGGCGAAGCAGGAGCCTTTCCTGCCTTCACAGTGCTTAGTTCTCTGCCCAGACTTCACGGCCACCTGGGGCCTGGCCCTGCCGCCCAGCTGCTCCCTGGCGCAGTTAATACCTGAGCCCCTCCCAGCAGCTCTGCTGAAAGCCAGGTCTGACTGCCTCACTCCCCCTGCTCAGGACCCCTCAGGGGCTCTCCACAGCCGAGGATAGAGGCCAGACTCCCTTACAGGGCAGCTGCCCCTCCTCCTAGGTGACCTGGCTCCAGCCGGTCACTCCCGGTGTCCCAATTTACACTCCATCAACGCAGAGCTCCTCGCCCAGAGGGGCTATTTTTGGCCTCTGTGCTCACGCCGTCCCTTCTGCCTGGAATGCCCTTCTACGCTGTCTGTCTGGCTAAGTCCTGCTCCTCCTGGAAGCCCTCCCTGACCCCTACCCCAGCCTCCACCTCAGGGCCCCATAGCATGGCCACCTCCCTACCCTTACCATAGGGGGGTGTAGAGTCTAATTCAGGAGAGCATCCTCTGATACAGTATGAAGTCATGATATATTATGTGATACTCTATTATGTGATATTTGAGAGCTCATTTTATTGTATTTTTAGGTGATATGTTACCTGATAAATTATGTGATATTAAAACTCTATACTACATTACCTTATGTCACACAATGTGTGTTTAGGACACCTCTCTAGCTAGACTGTCAGCCCTTTCATCTTTGTGTCCCAGCTCCTGGCACAGAGGAGGCTGCCAAGTAATGCACAGCGTTCCTTCCACGAAAATCCACACACGCTGGGGCTGAATATTCCTGAGCTGAAGGCAAAGACTCTAGGGAAGCGTGAACTAGGGGCTTTAGGACACAGACAGGGAAGTGCCCCTGGGCTCCCCCAGGCTCCTGTTTGGGGAGTTTGGGCTCTTGTTGCCTTGAATCAGTGCAGAAAGCTTTGCATTTCAGATCACAGAAACGCCTCTAGCAGCAGCTTAAACTAACAGGGCTCCTGTTTCTCACAGTTAGGAAAGGTGAAGTGAGGAGACTGTTCCCTGGCTCCAAGGCTCTGGTGATGCTAAGGCTTCGGGCTTCTTTCTTGGTCTTTACCTCATGACTGCACAGTGGCTGCCACAGCACTGAGTACTTCATCCACACGCTACATCCAAGGCAGGGCAGGGCCTTGCCGGGAAGAGCGTTTCTCCTCACCAGTTCAGTCAGTCCTGTCCAGCCATCCCCTACCTGCCCTGGAAGAAGGGGTGCTCTCCCTGAAACTGAGGAGGACATTGGGGCCTCTCATCTGGGAGGACAGTAGGGTAAACGGCCACGTGGCTCATCCCTGGAAAGTTGACCCTGATTTTTGACAGAGTGGTTTTCTTCCCAATGGGGCTGACGGATGTCATCATAACCTCAACCACAGTGTCAGAACCCCATCTCTGCGAGTTTGCCTACTCCTCCCCCCAGCCCCACAAAGTGAGGGCCAGTAGCCCCGTTTTCAGTTGACAGCACTGAGGTTCAGGGAACCTAGGTGACTAGGCCACTGGTGACCTGCTTCCTCTGCACAGTGCTTTTCAGTTTGCAGAGCCTTCTCATGCCTCTTATCCTCTTGAGTTTTGCAGTGACCTCCTGAGATCCACGTCACTAACCATGGGAGCTCTAGACGAGGAGGCTGGGACCCGGGGGGTGAAGTCACTCAGTGCCACACAGCTGGGTGGGGCCGGGCAGGACCTAGGCTCATCCAGCCCCGTGAAACAAGCGCTTCCGAATCTAGACCATCACTGCCCTCTGTTCTCCCAAGGTGAGGGGGTCTAGCAGTGACGCGGGTCTGTCTCAGCGCAGCCACTCATGAGCTCTGTCAGCTCGAGCACTTGCCTTCTCCAAGCTTCGCTTTCCTCATGAGACGTGGATAGAAATGTCCATGGGTGAGGAGGGTTCAAGGAAATGATGGCCATGAAAGGGCTACGTCAACTGGCTGCACTACGCAGTCACTGGGGCTCCTGGAGGACACTGCTGTCCATCCGGAAGGTGGGAAGAGGGACCTTGAGTGTCCCCTCCCCACCCAGGGACTTAGACTGGATGGACTTGACTCTGTTGCCAGGCAGCAGACACCGAGTCCGTCCTTCTGCTGTGTGTGTGTGTGTGTGTGTGTGTGTGTGTGTGTGTGTGTGTGTGTATGTGCACAGGTTTGTTGGGGCATCTGTAGGCACTGTCTGCCAGGATCAGACGGAGGGCCTCCCACATGGTGGACTGAGTGTCTGGCACTGGGGAGGTGCCCGGAGGTCTTCAAGGGTTTCAGAACTTCCCCTCTCCCCCAGGGGTCAGGATCCACTTTGGCACCCACCCACCCCCTCCACGTTTACACGCAGTGGTGGTTCGTTTATTCAACAGAAGCAGAAAAAGATGAATTAAGCTCGAAGGACGCTGTACGTTTATTTAAGAATAAACAGTTTTGAGTGTTTACTATGTGCCAGGCATTGTTTTAGGTGCTGGGTCACTCTGGAGAACAAAACAAAGGCCCCACCCTTTGGAACTCAGGCTGAACGACACAAAGCCCGGGCAGGAAAGCTCAGAGGAGAGCCCTGCAGGACCTTGTTCGCAGCCCACTGTGCTTAGCTCTGTGCACAGTTCTTACAAGCCTGCCTCCCTGGAGGCTCGGGTCAGAGCAGCTGAGCAGAAACAACCAGGAGACCAGCTCCTGGAGCAGGTGCAGTGACAGCCCCCAGAATCACAGCCAGTGGCCTGATGGCGTGG